CCACCCTGAACCTCCCCTTGATCACCTTCCTCTTCTTTCCTTTTCGTCTTTCATGCTCCACCCCGTCCTTTATAGTAAAAAAAAACCACCTAAAAACAAACACACAAAAACATAATATATCCCAATCCCTCTCCCGTTTGGGAATTCAAACCACGGTCACCCATTTCGCAGTCCGTCAATATACCTACTAAGCTAACAGTACTCTCATTGGAATCCCTCCCTGCTCACCTTTGAGTGGGAACTCCTCTCAGAGCCAAAGACAAGCAAGCCATTCATTGAAAAAAAAAAAAGCCAACAAACATAATCTCTTTTCTTTTTTAACTATCACCCTTACTCATCAAACCACTGCCGTCTGAGGTGCAGTGATACAGCTGATCGCCGTTGAAAACAAAAGACATGAGTTCGATTCCCGCGGTGACAAAAGGTCAACTTTATAGAGTTTCTGCGTCCACCAGCAGGCTTGCACAATTCTCCTCAGTGGCGCTAGGGTATAAATTAAAGTCGAACCTGCTCTAACGGACACCAGTCCAGGACAACTTTCTTACGGCTTTCAAAATATGATATAATAACATTTAAGTTAAGGAAATCACTTTTCTCCTCGACAACGCGTGGCTGTTTTTGAACATGTCTACTGTATAAACTAGCAATCCCTACACCAAAAGCTACCATTCTGCGAAGAGAAGGAACCAGACACCTGCGAAAAAACGAAGCTCGAAGTGTCTAACCATCGACTGCAAGCTCGAAATCGTCAGAAAAGTCACAAGCCGAAGTGAAGAAAATAACCAAGCACAGCGTGTGAACAAACGTGCCAGAAGTGAAAAGAAACGAAACAAAAAGCGTCACCCTTGTGATTAGACCGGCTGACCACATAATATTATCAATACTATTTAGTTGTTTTTTTTGTTTTCTTTGTTTTTGGACAAATCGAAATGAAATTATCCAAATCATGGGCGAGTTCCAAGACAGGTCAGTATTTGGACTAGGAATGATTTCAAAGTAAATGCTAGAAATAAATCCGTCCGCTATGCTGCTGCGTGATGAAACCCAAATAAGTTTTTTACTTCTCCTGTAAACTTTACTTCACCGGAGTTATCCACATGCCTTGCCTCTACGTAAACTGTTTAACCCTATCCGTACGCCCTGGGGTTATTTTGTACCCCCGGGTTTGTATTCTCCACATTTTAGAATACGCTAGTACGAAGATCTCTTTGAAACTTTCAGCACTTAAAAAAAAATCATTTTGACAGACTGCTATGCGAAGCGTACGTATCAGATTAACGAGTAAATTACCTCTCTGGAAAGTGGAGGCATAGAGTTCCCCACGTCGTATGGATACGATAGTAAAACACGACGTACGGATAGGGTTAAACAGTAGTCATTTGGGTTAGCCAGTCCTATCACAAGGGCGACGAAAAACCAAACAAAGGAAATAATAAGAAGAACGTCCGAGACCTTTGCCTTTCGGTAGAGGCTTGATGGACAAGATAGAGACATGCTTGTCCGGGGCGGCCGGGGGCGGACCTGTGAACAGACAACTGCCCATGCATTTCTAGACACTACTTCACCAGGCGCACTATCTCCCTTTCCCCAACACCCTACCCCCC